CCAACTCCCCAATCGTCTCTGCTCTGAGCCCGACCAGGGGCTGCACCTAGGGATTGGGCCTGCCCTCTGTCACCTGGGAGCAGTCCTAAGCCAGCAGGTCGTTATCTCCCGAGGGGTCCCAGACTGCGAGAGGGCACAGGCCGGGCTGAGGGACCCCCCCCTTCCCCCGAGTGCACAAATTTTTGTGCACCGGGCCTCTAGTCTATAATAATAAAAGTGTAATATTCTAATTAGACTGGACATCCTTCTGGACGTTTTTCTGGATGTGGCTGTGAGGGAGGGATCCAGGCAGCCAAAGGGGCTGCGAGGGAGGGATCTAGAAAGCCGCCATGGCTGCAAAGGTCTACTCTTGCACGAATTTCGTGCATTGGGTCTCTAGTATCTTAATAAAGCTGTTTAAAGAAAAAGAAGCCCTAGCTGGTTTGGCTCAGTGGATAGAGTGTTGACCTGCGGACTGAAGGGTCCCAGGTTCGATTCTGGTCATGGGCACACGCCTAGTTTGCAGGCTCGATCCCCAGTATGGGGCATTCAGGAGGCAGCTGATCAATGATTTTCTCTCTCATCGCTGATGTTTCTATCTCTCTCTCCCTCTCCTTTCCTCTCTGAAATCAATAAAAATATATTTAAAAAAACCCCAAAAACTTTTGCCAAGACCATAGCAAAGGCTTTCTGAATCAGGAAACAAGCTTAGAATGGCTAAGCAATTGTCCAAAATCCCACTGCTACTGAGTGACAGAAATGGATTGAACCAGGCTTTATGGCTCCATAACTGGCTTTTCCTAAAAAAAAACAAAAACAAACAAAACACACACACACACACACACACACAAACAACAACAAACAAAAACAAACAAACCCCAACTCTTTAGCCAGGACAAAGTATTAGTATCGGTATAAGTGGAGAGTCCTGTCCACTTATCAAATTGGGACAGAATGGAATCTCTGTACCTTCTCCAGGTAAGAAGGTGAATCCTGAGGTAGGAGTCAGGTTTCATAGGAGGCCCCTTTCTCAGCACACCCTTTGTCTTGGGCAGATAAAGTGAATACAGATATTCACTAAATCACTTGAACATTTGAGTGAGGAAGCTCTTAAAATCTGAGAATACATGCTGAAGAAACACAGATACAAGTTTGTGAAACTCATTTGGTCAAGAGGCATCAATTCATTGTTTCTTTCTGTGGAGTCTCAGGAGTACAATGATCAATCACACTTTTTGGTTAGAAGCACAATATCTCACCAGTTCCTTGTGCTCTGAGGGTTTGAGTTATTATAATATATAGTTTATGGGTATCCTCCCAATCTACTTTGCATTTTTATCTATGAATCTATAAATAATATCATGGTTTATACATGCTTTTTAAGAATGTATATAAATGACATCATGCGATACAACCTGCCTTTTACACTCTACATTTTTTTAGATCCATCCTTGGTGAGTTTTAACGTTATTCAGGATTATCAGCTGTTCTCTAAAGTATTTATACCAAATTATGCTCCCAGCATTACCTGCGTGTTCCTGTTTCCCCACAATCTCACTCACAGTTGATCCCATCCATCTTTTAGGTTTTTACAAATATACTGGGTTGGTTTAATACCAGGGATCTCAAATATGACCTCTGGACAGTAGCATCACCAGGGAATATGTTAGAAATGCAAATTCTCAGACTCTACCCCAGAACTATTGAATCAGAAACTGGAAATGGGGCCCAGCAGTCTCCAGATAAATCTGATGTACACCCAAATGTGAAAAACACCGTTTTAATAAATTGCTTTTAAAGGCTCCCTTAGCTCTATGTCCAGCTATTTCCACTTTACAATAACTAACTCAATCATAGGTGTAAACCCTATTTTCCCAAAAGACATGCTTTGGCATCAATGCATGGTATATGTTCTACTTGTTGAATTAATCGATTTGGGATGGCATTTCTTTCATCCTATTTTCAATACTAATAAATAATACAAAATTAAGGATTTATAATGCCTTTGGTGAAGGGCTGAAACACTTATAATTAAAAGTCCAGCTTTTCCGTAAGTACCAAGGGTAGCTTTAATAAGAACTTTGAGTGCATCTATGAATGCATTGGGGTACTGCTGTTGCAACCTTGTTTAGTATACTCTGTGGAATGAAAAACAAAGTACAGTGAACAGTAAACTTTCTCTATACTGATACTCTCCGAGCATGCTCCTGGGATATCCTATAAAAAGAACTAATGATCTCAGCAATAATAAGTCCAGTGCTTTTATAATTATTTCACTGAAGTTTTGAAAAGCAGGTGGGGCAAGAGCACAGTCATCTCTGTTTTATAAACCAGGCAACTGAAACTCAGAGAGGTTGAAGTAATTTGCCTAAAGAAACCCAATGACTAAGTAATTGCTGTGTGAAGCACTGTACTAAGTGCTACATTTACATTATCTTACGAGTCCCTGCCATAAACCATGTGCGACATGGTTTAATATCTATCTACTTCTCATCTTAAAGAGGAGGAAAATGAGGCTCAAAGAGACTAAACTACTCACCCCAAAACACAGAGAAATTAAAAGAAGCAACAATTTGAACTTTTCTACTCTGCCCTACACTACTCCTCAGCCATTCCATTCTTGAGAGGGCTCCTTACTGACATCTATGAGATGTGAGGAGTGTCTCAGAGAGGCTGGGCATTTCCTCTCTGGGGGCTGTCACCTATGTGGGAACAGTGGCACCTGTGGGTACACAAGGCCTCTGCTTATATTCCCTCAGGTAAAAAATACCAAGGCAAGAAAAAAAGTCTAAGCTAATCTTTGTACTAAAGCATATAAGCCTACTGATTTTAATCAACACAAAACAGGAATTAATGAACTTGTTTTCAAACAGAACAGGATTTCAAAGTAACACAAAATGCTCCCTATCTCATGCCAAATGTAGCTGCTAATTCCCCCAGGAAACAGCACATTCATGTTACAGTCCCTAGAGTTTCAAGAGTGGTTTCTTCAATGTAATTTTAAAGACTCAGAAGAGCAGCGTTTGAAACCCATTCTCCCATTTACTAGTGTTACTTAGCCATTAAATGGGCAAGCCATTTAATTTCTCTGAGCCTTCACTTTCTTAGCCATAAAAAGTGAATAATGCCTATACTTTCTACCACAGAGACTGTTATAAACATCAAATGAAACAATAAATATGAAAACAATATACGAAATGAAAAATCACTACCCATACAACTATTTTTTTAAAATATATTTTATTGATTTTTTACAGAGAGGAAGGGATAGAGTTAGAAACATTCGATGAGACCGAAAAACATCGATCAGCTGCCTCCTGCACGCCCCACACTGGGGATTCAGCCTGCAACCAAGGTACATGCCCTTGACCGGAATCAAACCCGGGACCCTTCAATCCGCAGGCCGACGCCATATCCACTGAGCCAAACCAGTCAGGGCTCCCCATACAACTATTATAATGACTATTACTGTTCCCACCTTGCGCCCATCAGTACTGCTTCTAGCTTGAGCCACAGCAGATTACAGAGCTCTCATTCTGTTTGTACTCTCCCTACCTCTATCATCTAGCAAACTGAACCACTCCCATGTCACCAACGGTAACCATCAAGCTACTACCCAGCACCATAAACCCCTACCCCTCTGACAGCTGTCAGTCTGTTCTTTATGAGTATCTATGAGTCTGTTTCTATTTTGTTTGTTAGTTTATTTTTTTCATTAGATTCCACATATAATTGAAACCATAACAGTTACATTTTTGCCTCTTTTGCTTCACACCTATTCTATCAATAACAAAGATCAGAAAAAAAATTCTCGGATCTGTAGATGTATTTATATTACAAAAATATAAAAAGGAAAACAAACATTACAAAGCATTAAACAGCCCAGCCAGCATGGCTCAGTGGTTGAGCGTCGACCTATGAACCAGGGGGTCACTGGGTTTGATTCCCGGTCAGGGCACATGCCCAGGGCGTGGGCTCGATCCCAGGAGGCAGTCGATCAATGATTCACTCTCATTGATTTTTCCCTCTGTCTCTCTCTCCCTCCCTTCTTCCCTTAAATCAATAAAAAAATACATTTTAAAAAGTATTAAACAATTTGATAGTCTCTTCAAGAAGTAAATTACTCACAGTGCCTTCAATCTCTGAATAGAGTCCTGACCAGAAGCTGAAGGTACTTTTATCCAGCTGATACAGTCGAGATTTCTCAAACGTTTCTGAATCTATGATCTGTCCTAATTCCATTGGTACATGAGTTGTTGTTTTATATATCCGTCTCTGAAATATTTTGAAAAAAAAAACAAAACACTTTAATGAAACAGTCAAACCAACTCATTATTTATTACACTAGTCATTTATGATCAAACATTGAATGGTTTATAATGTTAATTTGTCACATAAGCCTGTTGAATTACATACATACATCACAAATAATGTATTTGATCAAGCACATTGTCTACTAAAACAACTGTGCAGAAAAGTAAAAGAACAAGAGAATCTGAGGCTAGTTGACTATGTAAGATTAAAATCAGGATTGTTATCATACTTCAGCTTGCATATGTAAACCAAAACTGTAACTTCACAAATGATACCATTCATTTCAGGTATAACATATATCCTATAATACAGAAAACAAATTCATGGGAAGGACAAGGAACCAAATAGGCTAACCATGAGTATTAACAGATATTGTGGCTAGTAACTAAATTTGGTCCAAGCAGCCAAATTGAGGGAAATTTGAGGAATAACAGATACAAACATTATCAGGGCTTCAAGGAAGACAAATTTTCTCATTAAACCAAATGCTAAAAGATACTTTAAGCCCATGGGACATAATACAAGGAACAGATACCAAACAATATAATGGACAGTATCTTCTACAGTGGTTTTACGACAAATGGCTTCTCTATTTATTGTTATGCATTTTACCAAACCCTCATTAAAAGGCACTACATGAAAGCATAACTGAGTAAAGAAGACACTATAGAAAAGTAGTTACTGAAATAGGCTTATTATTAAAGTAAGACAGAGAGATGTTCCAAACCCATCCCCAATTTGGATACTACATATTGTGAGCTTCCTTTCTACAAAGTACCTTCTCTAGGCGAACAAGACTGAACTAATGAAGCTATGCAAAGAGCTATTAGGTCAGAGAAACTAATGCTATTCATATTAATGCCTCTTTGAATATTCTGGATTGAAAGAAGAGATCAAGATATAACCCAAACACTGACAGATATAGAAGAATTAAATTTCCCAATTTAAAGATTCATGCAGAATGTCAAATGAGAGAAGAAATTTGCAAAGGAAAAAGACTGTAATGCTCAAGAAAAGAAAGGTTTTCATAGCCATCCTGGCTGACACAATTCAGCAACAACACAGAAGAATGTAGGTAAAGCAAACCAGCGGTGAGAGATGGCAATAAAGCAGTCAACTAAACTTAAAATCTAGCCCATTTAAAAGTTCAGATCTCTAGTCCATCAAGCTGTTATGATCATTGCCCGGGAACTGCTAAGTAGCTTTCATGTCTACTTTACTGTTTTAATTGCTTAAACAAAAATAATAAAGAAGCTTTTGATAAAAACAAGAAAGATTGTTCTTCGGGCAAAAAAAACACACCCAACTTTATTTTTTAAGGAAAAAGAGTTCGGGCCCTCGGAAGGATTTATTTTCAGAAAATGGTTTCCTGATTCTATGGTTGAGCATGACTGTAAAAAGGTCATGAGGAAGTCGTGAATCTGAAATATTAGGATCTTCCCTTCGAAGGCTTATGGGTCGCTGCCATAGATCACAAAGATCAGCCCCCCGGGGAGCTTAAGGAAGCCGTGGGGCAGGTGTAAGGCTGCTTTCCCTTCCAGGCCCTAACCCGCCCGAGTCCCTCCATCACGTTGTGGAAAACGTGCCCAAGGCCCCGGGTCCTCTCAAGGCCAATCCCACCATCGGGCCAAATGAGGAGGCTCAGTAGGGACGCAAGAGGGTCGAGGCTGGGTGCTGGGGCTGCAGCCTCATTTAGGGGCTTGGGGTGAGGCCATGGCTGGCCTAGGGCTGGCCGGGCGTCGGCATTAGCTGCGCTCTGTAGGCTCACCTGCCGCTGTGCTAGGAAGGTCTCCCAGAGATACACGGTCCAGGAGAAGAGCAGCACGGCCCCAAAGATACGCTTCTCGGCCGGCATCTCCCACATGGGGTCCAGCGACGCCCACATCCCCATGGCCACCGGGTTCGGCCGGCTTCTGAAGCGTGCAACAGTGCCACACCAACACCGTCCCCTCAGAGCGCCCCGTCGGTGTTACAGCTATTTCCGTCCCTTCCGAGCGCCCCGGCTCCGACAGCCACCCCCATCCCACGCCCAGCGCCCCGCCGACAGTGTTACACAGATACTCTTCCCCGTGCCCACGCCTCTTTGGTCCGCCTCGTTTCTGCCGGAAAAGGACCGTTCCGCTTCCCTCCCTCCCTACTCGAGGAGAACTGAAACCCTGACGCCGCGTTCCGGCCTCCGCCAACCCCAGCTCCGGCCCGCGACCTGGTCACGCTGAGCTGCACACCATGTTTTCCCTTTAGCTCCTGGCCGAGGGCCGGCCGAGGCTTCCGGCTTCCCTCTGACGCTGCTTTCTAGCTTCCAGATCCGCAGCTGCATCTCTTCGCTTCGGGGCTTGCCCTGCTGGGCCGCGACCTGAGCCGTCTTTCCCCGCCAGGACCAGCCCACTGGTAGGGGGCCGAGCGGGCACTAAGGCAGAGGGGACCGCCGCTCCCGCCCCGAAGTAGCTGGGAAGAACCAGGCAGGAGCGGACGTCTCAGCCTTTAGAGGCCATTCCTCTAACTAATGCTATTCGGATTGTGGTATGTTCATCCCGGGATACCTTCAGACTAAAGGGATAATCAACAGAGAGGCTATAGGTGTTGTAAGTGCCGTGTTTCGGCCTGCGTCGGGGTATTCTGAATTCTGGCGTGTTAGAGAATGGGCGGTAGTGATGAGATTTTCATTCCAAATTTCGCCTCTTCCACCTCAGGCGAGTCCAAGGCGGCATTTTGCCTGAGAGAGAGAGTGCCCTGGAGCAAAGTGGAAGGGCCTACCGTGATGTAGGGACAAACTCCGATCAAAGCACAGTGCCATGTCTGTCTTGGAATTCAGGAGTGAAATGTGGTCACGGGGACGCCTGTTAACACAGTGGTTTGACTTGACAAGTGAAATATTTCCTGACCGAAGATAAATCTGACTTGGTTACTTGGATTGACAGAGTGGCATTGCTACTGTGCATAATTATTATTTACAATGAATTGAGCTAAATCTGCAACTAATATATATTTAAATTACAGTGAAATTGTAGTGCTAAAGATGTGTGGAAATTAACACTATCTTGAATTTCCCAACTTTTCCGAAATGCTTCTAAATGAGAGTAATTACATAATTAAATGTCACTCGAGAAAGTGATGGTCTCTAATGACAGGATAACAAATTGTTTTGCAAGTCAAAATGTTTTCAGTTCTTTGCTTTCAACAAAATTAGTGGTGGACCTAATTGAACTGTCAGCTAATGAAGGGACAGTATTTGATTTGTGGTATATAACTGAGAAGGAAGTTAAAGAATTGATTGACATGCCTATTAGAAAACTAGCATTCCTATTTGTGGAGTAATATTTCTCAGCACTATATCTACAAAAACAAAAAAATGAATCTATTAGTAATAAGTAGTCATTCAGACACATATATTAATTGGTGAGGAAGCCCCATCCATCTCACTGAGAAATACTTTTCCAGTAGTGTTTTACATTTTATGTTTATGTATTATTAAATGTAATCGTATCATTTTGCACAGATTTTTAATCATTAATTGTAATGATAATTATAATGATTAGTCAATTCAAAGAATTCTAATACATAGACTCATACAATTACAGGAACATTAAAAAAATTCTACTCCTAATAGGTACATATTTTTATCTCAAACAAGGATCAATTAAAGGTTTTACTAACAAAAAGTTACTTTCTGATAATATTTAATGGGGAAGTGGAATATAAATGTAAATTAGAAATGATAAAAGAAAATGTAGAAATGATAAATATTAAAGAGCTTATTTGTGTAATTTTTAAATGGATGATAGTGGTTATTCAGTTGTTATGTGGATTCTGTTGGATACATTATCAAAAGTAATTTTACAATTTTATCTTAAATTGTCATTATTTATAATTTGCCAGAATTTACATGCATTACAACTACTTTCTTTTTTCATCGAGGATATTTTCCATTGATTTTTAGAGAGAGAAGAGAGAGGAAAGACAGAAATATCACTGTGAGAGAAACACATTGATTGGTTGCCTCCTGCATGAGGCCCGACCAGGGCCTAGGCCTGGTAGGAGCCTGCGACTGTGATACGTGCCCTTGACCGGAATCGAACCCGGGACCCTTCAATCCACAGGCCCACACTCTATCCACTGAGCCAAACCAGCTAGGACTCCATTGCAACCATTTAAATGAATGATGAAAACTTAGATATTAACTTAAAATATGAGGGGATAAACACTTTTTCAAAATTCTCTCTCCCTTGGTCTGTCATTGCTACGCCCTCTTCAGTCTTCTTGTCTTCATCTGTCTAGGTCCAGCCAGCCTGCTGCAGTTGGTCTAAAATCTCACAGAAGCTCCAAACTTTGTGGCTAAGAGTGCACATTTAGTCAGGCTGCTTGAGTCCTGGTCATAGCTGTACCATATGTTAGCAAGTTGCTTAACCTCTCTGTCCATCAGTTTCCGACCAGTAAAATGAGAATAATAGTATTTGCTTCCTCATATTGTGAGGACCAAATAAGAAAAATCATGTAAATATCGTAGCAATGTGCCTGGCTTGCCCAATAAAGATTAGCTACCATCTCCCCATACTTGTGAAATTGTGTCATAGTGTTGATCCTTGTATGTGCCCTGACCGGGACCAAACCTGCAACCTTGGCACATTGGGATGATGCTTTAACCAACTGAGTGTGCCAAGGCGCTGCCAAACTGGATTCACATGAGAGTTCCCCTAAAGTCAAGTTCTGAAATTACCTGTCCAGCCAGCCAAACTGAGAGCTCCTGAAACACTCGGGACAGATTCCCAAGAATTACCACACTGCTCAGCACAGAGGAAGTATCAGCAAAAGATGGATAAAGTTAAATAGTCTCCTTTATGTCCACCCCAACTCTTGCCCACTTCTGAGTAATTAATGCAGGGAATCTCCTGGGCCAAATAGTTCATACCCAAGACCAGCACAAGGGCCAGCCTACCTCTACAGGACAGTCCACAGCATCGCCCTTCAACGGCACATTCTTGCTGTTTATTATATTCAACCCAACCTTTTTGGTATGGAGCTGAAGGCCATATCCATGACCACTCTCCCTTCTTTTCCCAATCCCTAGATTCGGGTCTCCAGCCTGCTGAGCAGGCACCACAATCCCAGAGACATTTTAAACCACCACCCTTCCCAATATTACCCCAACACACAAGAAAAAGTTGGGCCCGACTGAATAGAGAGCCAGGCTTTGTAGGGTAATTTCAATACAGTTCTCTACCTTTATTGGTACACCACTGCACACATAAGGGAAACGGCGCTTGTCTGGGAAAGACTGGAGTCCATCAGATTTCAGATGTGGAAGTAAACCCTGATGTGGGCAAGGGACTCTGGCAGTCGGAGCAGCTGCAGTAGGGCTCAGAGGAGCAATCCCTCTTCGTGGCAGGTTTTTGAGAAATTATCATCCCCTCCAGGTTCTTCACTTTGCTTTCCACCATCTGAAGTTGTTTCAAAATTTTCTCTTGCAGACCCAAGGACAGGAGGATACTTTTGTCTTGCATTGGGAGACGAGTCCCTTCTGGGTTGACCAGCAAAGCCTCCAAAAACTCTGAGCCTTTCTTGTAAAGTTTGTAGAGTGTGATTACAAACAACAACAGACTCTAAAAGAAAACAACAGAAGTTGAACGTTACTTGTTTATTCACGTGAAATGCCAGTTTACTATAGATGCAGAATAAAACAAAAACAATGGTAACAATAATCCCTCATTTCTTTTCCAAGCCTTGTTTATCAAAACATCTTTGCCCCTATTTCATCTTTTGATTTTCACCACAAAATAGAGTAGTAGGCAGGTCAGGGATTATTATTTGCATTTACTTAATAAAGATTATAAAATAGATACCCTTTGCCGAAAGTTTGCCACATGCAGGGCTCTTTGCTACGAGTTTCCTTGCCTGTGCGTGACCTAATTATGTAAAAAACAAAAAACACACAACTGAATAGCCATTTTGTTACCTTCCATTTTGGACCCTGTCATTGTCCAAGGTCATATACTTGGAAATGGTAGAACCAGTACTGGAATCCAGGAATTCAGACTTACATGTATATTCAGGACACAGTGGTCTAAAAAACTGGATTTCCTGGTCATGGCAAAAACTTTTACTCTACCAAGACAGATTCCTGCCAGAATAAAAAACAAACAATCTTTTTTCCTTATAATACCAGCACTACTTGCTTATTGGATATTTATGTGCTAAGCTTTATCTATACAGTAGTAACTCCTTCAATCCTCACAACAACCCTGAGGAAGGCACTGTTAGCAAACCCATCTTACAGTTAAGGAAATGGGCTTAGAGGCTAAGTGATTGCTCTTGGTCACACAGCAAGTGGTGGAACCAAAACTTAAGCCCCAGCAGTCAACTTCAGCACCCGTGCTATTTACCATTCTGTTACACTACCGCTTTTTCTTGGCTGAGGTTTGTGGAGGGCTGTAAATTCGTTTTTCTGGTTGAGCTAAGCATTAACCATATAAGAGCAGAACTCAGAACTACAGATAAGAGTTTGGTTTTTTGCCTTGTATTATCTGATTATAATGTGTGTATGTGAATATGTATATACATACATATCCATATTGGGATTTAAGTCAGGTTATGTTAAATGAGATTTTGGAAAAGAATTGAATTTGAATCCTAAAAGTTGGGTTCAAATCTCAGCTTTTCTGGTCTCTGTCAACGTGGGTAGGTGATAACCAAATATCCTCACCTATAGATGATAATCCCTGCCCTGCCCACCATGCAGGGTTTGAAAGATTAAAGAATGCGTATGACCATGGTTCCTCAACAGTAGTGACATGCTGTAAAATGATTTGGTAAAAATTTCGTTTAGCATTTGCCAAGTAAACCAGTCACTCTTTAAGACAGTCTTTTTAAAAACCCTATCTGCTTTCATTTCCACTGAACCTCAGTTCACCTCACTTTTGTTTTCCATATGAAAATAATTTCATATCATGAAATTGTTGGAACTCTCAAAGCATTTTGACTATATTGTAAATATAGGTATTATTTTAGGTGATTACACAGAAATATGTAAAATCCTAAATGTTTCTCATAATCCCAGCCAATTATACTCCTCTTACCAAAAAGAGCCACTGTATACTTATGGAACCCTATCTTGTTAAAACAAGGAAATAATGAAAACACCAGGATGACTAAATGACTGACTATTCATGCCTCATCAGGTACAAAGCAATGGCAAGTAAGAACCCAAGATCCTAGTTATACTCGCGGTGCCTATTCTAGAAAAGCTACCCCGAATGGCGCCTGGCATACAGTAGATACTCAAAGATGAATCAGTGATCAAATAAATTTGGGGGTGCCCAGCTGGTGTTGCTCAGTGTTTGAGCGTCTACTCATGAACCAGGTGTAACAGTTCCTTCTAGGTCAGTGCACATGACTGGGCTGTGGGCTCAGTCCCCAGTGGGGGTTGTGCAGAGGGCAGCCAATCAATGATTCTCGATCATCATTGATGTTTCTATCTCTCCTCCCTTACTCTCTGAAACCAATAAAAACATTTATAAATAAATAAATATATAAATTTGGGGGTAAGACTGCCTTTTCAGGTTGTGAACTTGTTTGATCTACTTTACTATAAGGCAACGGTCTAATGACCCTTTCACAGGGGTCGCCTAAGACCATCGGAAAACACATATATAATTACATACTGTTTTTGTGATTAATCACTATGCTTTAATTATGTTCAATTTGTAACAATGAAAATACATCCTGCATACCAGATATTTACATTATGATTCATAACAGTAGCAAAATTACAGTTATGAAGTAGCAACGAAAATAATTTTATGGTTGGGGGTCACCACAACATGAAGAACTGTATTTAAGGGTCGTGGCATTAGGAAGGTTGAGAACCACTGCTATAAGACAAGCCAAAGACAATTGTGAGAAAGCATTTTAATGCTCAAAACCTAATTGGGGGGAGTTTTTAAGGATAATTTAGTTTCAACCAACTAAAAAACCTTCAGAGACGAGTTCACCCTTGCCCATCTGCATGGTCTTAAGACAAAATGGTAGCAATATGGGGAAAGAATTAATCAGCTTTCAATGTATAACTATTTAAATTTCTCTAACAAAAGAGTATAACCTGAATTGACCGAACACTTCGTTTCCATAAGGCATATAGTCCTACTGCCAAGAAAATAAGAAAGAAAATCCCGAAGGCAACTTGCAGAACCGGAGCAAGATTATCTATTAGCCCCAGATTTGTTTGCTGAGCCACACTAGTCTGTCCCAGGAAAGTTGCTTGGAGCCAATTCCATATTGCGCTCAGAGAGGCATAATCTATGATGTCCCAGATAGAAGATGAAGGTGAAGATGTTGGCATTTTAATAAGACAGCAGCTCCAGAGCTACATGTTCAGCGTCTTCAGGACCCTAGATATGAGTGAAGGAAAGTGGCCTGGGAGCCCCGTGTTCTAGAGCCCCTGTGAGCTGAGCTTTGTGATGTCACCGTCCCCAAAATCCGCTTGCTTCCCATTCACCCAGTGAACCTTCTCACTCAAAACCAACCAGGTACTGACTGGCCTGCGTTTTCAGTTTGGTCATATTTGTTTTCTTTGATCTTGACAAGTCCTAGCTCTAGCACAGCACTGTCCAATAGAACTTTCTACAAAGATGGAAATACATCCTGTCCAATATGGTAGCTACTAGTCACTTGGAATGTGTATACTGTGGCAGAGGAACTGAATTTTACATTTTATTTAATTTTAATTAAATTTAAGAAACCATGTGTGGCTAGTGGTTACCTTCTTCGACAGTGTATAGATAATTTCCAACAATCCATTGAATGCACAATATTTTCACATGAAAAATGAGACGATTGAGACTACGTGGACATCTGAGAAGACAGGATTTAGAGAGGGCTTTACTAAAGAGTAAATAGTTTACCTGGTAAATGTGGAGAGAGATCATAACTGGATCATTTTGTAGCATCCCCTTTTTCCATGTGTTATAATTGTTTAAGAAATTGTGATCTTTAGGAAGACTTTTCACATTTGATCCTCATTTTGCTTATCTTTTTACAGAAGGGCATTCCACCTCAACAATTTATATTAGGGGAAAAAATGGTATCATTTTCTAAACACTTTTGTAAACAGCATGTTGCACTATAATCTATTTGGTGTTATCAAATCAGTTATTTACTGATTAGTACCTATCTTCTCAGCAAGGTGATATGAAAATATAGAATGTATGATCTGTTCCCCAAAAGCTTACATGGAAAAAGATAGTTCACACACAGCAAGAATACAGGAGAGTTTGCACCAAGTGGGGAGGGGCACAATAAGGCAAGAAAGGATCAGTTATGATGAATGATTTTTAGAAATTATTGTCTGGTGCTACTCCAAGTTGTTCACTGTGGTTGACTGAAACAACAGGGATAGGGAAGCTGGGTGGGGAAGGAATAACTGTTTTGTTCTTCCAGGAAGAGGAGGTATGATAAGTTGCTGGAGGTGTCAGAGACACTTCCAGAAAATGGAGTCTACAATGCTGTTGGAAATATAGTACTTGTGTTGGGGAGAAATAATTTAGGAGTGACTGCTATGGATGTTAAGCCCATAGTCTGCTAGCAATTGACTGTAGCCAGAATCCTTTTTAGTAAGGGCTAAAGTTACTCAGAAAAGGCTTGGGATTTGACTATAACAGGTTAAAAACATAGGTAAGAAATCAGAGAATAACCAGAAACTTTTTGGAGAAAGATAGGGATGTGACAGCTGAATAATGTAAGACTCCCCACACTCAATTAGACCCCCGTTACAATGCACCTAGTACTTTACTTTCAAAGCACTTAACACGACCATAGTGATTTGTGTCATTTTTGGTGTAATACAGGTTTTTCTCATCTATTGTAAATTCAAGAAAGACAGGGACCATGTCCATTTTATTGACTACTTTATCCCTAGTGCTTGGCACATAGCACATATTAAAATATTTTTAAGTGAATGCAAAGTCCCCCTAGAAGAATTCCAGATATCTATTCCAGACTAAATTGTTCACTCATCAAATGCCTATTAATTACCATATTTGTGTACTAGTTTGTATAGAAACTCTGTTTATACTAGTAGCTGTTATGAGGTCTTTGAGAGTATAATGGATCTGGGTTCAACTATTCACTAACCTTGTTACCTTGGGAAAGCTATTAATCTGGGACTCAATTCTGCATTTGTAAAGTGGGAGTTATTCCTACCTTGAGGAGCTGTAATGAGAATTTGATAATTTGTGTGAAAGTACCATGCTATAAATATAGATAAGGGCAACTATTATTTGTAGTGATATTTATGATCAAATACAAGGTATTGTAAATCTCAATAATATATGATGTCTCAAAGAGAATCTAGGCCAAAAAACCCATTTGTTTGATTTCCCACTTGGATACCTGAACAACTCCAATGACCAAGAATTTATGTCAGCCCACCTTTAGTGTCATCCATTCACCTAGCCAACCAGCCATCACACGGTTGTGTCTATTTAGTAGTTTTCAACATCATGCCTATGCCCTATTAGGGCTTTTTTTACTTACACATGGCAACTTATGACATATGCAAGGTTTACTTTTGAGCCTTCAATAGGTTGACTTTCAAACAAAATCTGAAATCTAGAACATGGGTTATAAGGCAC